CAACATCCACAGCCTTTCCTTCATCCAGCAAGCGGGTCACTTTGTCATAGAAGGAGATCAGGTTTGTCAAGCAGGACCTGCCCCTTGTGAACCCGTGCTGGCTGGGCCAGATCGCATGGGTGTCCCTCATGTGTTGCATGATGGCACTCAGGATGATCTGCTCCATGATCTTACCAGGCACCGAGGTCAGGCTGACAGGCCTGTAGTTCTCTGGATCATCCTTACGGCCCTTCTTGTGGATGGGCGTCACATTTGCCAGACGCCAGTCGGCCGGGACCTCCCCAGTTTGCCAGGACTGCTGGTAAATGATGGAGAGTGGCTCCGCAAGCACTTCTGCCAGTTCCCTCAGCACCCTCGGGTGGATCTCATCTGGTCCCATAGACTTGTTTGCATCTAGGTGTTGGAGCAGGTCCCTCACCATCTCCCTTTGAATTGCAGGGGCTTCGCTCTGCTCCCCGCCCCTGTCTGCTAGTTTAGGGGTCTGGATATTTAGGGAACCCCCTGTCCTACTACTGAAGACTGAGGCAAAGAAGGCATTTAGGACTTCAGCCTTCTCCTCATCTTTGGTCACTATGTTACCTCCCTTATCCAGTAGAGGATGGAGGTTCTCCCAAGACCTCCTCTTGCTATTGATATATTTATAGAAATTCTTTTTATTGTTTTTAACATCCAAAGCCAGGTTGAGCTCTAGGTGGGCTTTGGCCTTCCTAATCTTTTCCCTACATAACTTTGCTACACCTTTGTAATCTTCCTGCGTGGCCTGCCCCTTTTTCCAGCTTATTCCCACTAGAGTTGTTTGTCTATTTATAAAATGCCAGTTACATCCACTGTCACTTGTATATCTGAGCCCTCAAGACAATTTGTCAATGTGAGGAGGTATGACCTGCCTCAGACAGAAAAACAAAGAAAGAAGAACTGAACTTTCATTAGCTGCTGTGGTATAGTTTTACTGGTACATCTTCAGGAATGCAAAGCAAGATAAGACAAAACAGCTCTTACAAAATATCACTGATATTTTGTATCGTCTTTCTGTTATTTCAAATGATGTGCAATACATGGTTAATTGTAGGGCAGGGAGAGCAGTCTATTATTACTTTAACTTGCATTCCTGTTCTAAGGCACTATATGAAAACCTAATGTCATCTGGATATCATAGCAGTCTTTACCATATCATTACATGGGACTAATATTTCTTGATCAAAGTAAAAGAAAAAGCTCTTATTTTATTTATAAGTCATCTGCCACAAACCATTATCATTTACTTAGGCCCCAAGTTACAGTTTCCATTTTAATAGTTCTATTAGCATTTGGGTGGTTTCTATAAAGATTATTCAACAAACATTGTCCAGAAAAAGCTAGATACTTTTAATGCATAATCCTCTGGAATGTTTGTTAAACAGTAACGCTGAACCTTCTGACAGTTTTATTTCTGAGAATGTTATAATGTTATTATGCATCCCACCGGTAATTCTGCATTACTGAAAACTCCTGTGCAATGTAATGAATCTTACCGAAAGCAGATGCAGCTGAATTAGTAACAGGGACATCAATGCACTATAGAAAGTCATATAATGGGAGGGGTGGGATGAGGGGAAAAGAATGCAGAAAAGACATCTGATTCACTTTTGCAACAAAAAGTAAATGAAATAAGAAGAAACAGTAATATAAGAATTTGAAAATCCAACTGTAAATAGTAGATTCACCTGAAAAGAGTATTTCATCATGTATTATATATTTACTGTTTAATGCACAGACTCCTGGCAAATTTAATTTAACTTAATTATAGGATGAAGGGGTCCTAAAAAATGACTTAAAACCCTAAACACACAGAATTTACTTCTGTGAATAGGTTTCTGAGAGTCACATTTTCTGTGAGGCCACCCTGCAAGGATCCTTTTATCACCTGTTAAATAGATGCTATTCCTCTTAACTAACTACAAAGAGAGCTCAGTCTAAGGTTCAGTACACTTACTACAAAGCCTCCAAAGAAAGGATGGCTTCAGATAAAGCTCAGTGCTTGGCCATAATGAACCTGGTAAATGTTGGTTTCCTGCAATAAAAATAATAGATGAAATCTTGGCCTATTGAAGTCAATGGGAATTTTGCCATTGATTTTAGCAGGGCCCGTAATGCAACCAATAAATCTACTGAGCAGACCCTAACAAGTGGGTGAAGGAAGGAAGGGGAATTATATAACAGAGCACAGAACCTCTACATTATTTCAGTTCTTGTTCTACTTTCCTCTGCCTGAATGAATGGCTCCTGATACTCCTGAGATGTGCTCACAGAAACTATAGTGTACCAAACACCAAATATTTACAAAGGCATTTAATGAGTAATTCTGAAACAGGAAAATCAGCTTTGTTGTTATAATGAATCAGTCTCAGATTCAACCAGAGGTTGTTTTAAGGGTGAGTAACCAAGGGCAATTGCCCAAGACTAAATACCATGGGAAGTGTGTTGGACTACAATAATTAAAAGTATGACTTATCCAATATGCCTCAATCTTCTTGCTGTTCCTGCTGGTCAAAACCTGCTGTAGCTCCATGTAGATACAGTTAGATCTTTGAAATGCAATCCTTTATGTAACATGTAAAATAACTGGCAAGAAATTTAGTTAGAAATGTAAATGTCTTTTTGTCTTCTTATATTTATATCCCTTTCTGTGTTTCTTTTTATTGATGTGTGAAAATATCTATTTCTGATTTCTGATGTGTATGAAGTGTAGTCGCCATATTTTTGTGGGGGTTTTCCCAGACATCATTACACACGTGCACCATGGGGCCCATGCACAGCAAGGCAGTTTCAGACATCTGCAGACTAACAAATCAACAAATGGCACACCACAGACACGGAATGGTCCTATCTGGAAACAAAAGACATTGGATGTGAAGAAATGTACGTGTTGGTACCTCATCATGGGCCATACAATTCTACTTGAGAGTCCTGTGTTCCATTAGGAGGCAAAAGCTGTGGGAGAAATTTTAACTTCTTGTTCAAGTGTTCCAGAATTTGGATCAGAATATGGAGAAGCACAACCATCCAGTTTGTGGGACACTTTCATAGGGATTATTTGCAACCAAAGTACGGTTTGGGTGAAAAAAAATTACTGGGTAGAAAACAACAAGAAGCAAATGGTGGCTAAAAACACATCATCTGATGTGAAAGAGACATATAGGCAACACAGTCCTGAACACACAAGCATGGTGTGGAAATGTGATGGATCTGTAAAATCTCCCTTGAATTAGACTAGTATTTCTAATACTTATCTCAGTTATGAGACAGTAATAAACTAAAATAGAGTAAACTTACACTGGGAATGGGAAATGGTGACATCCACTGCAGACATTGTTTTGCAATACACAGTTTTCCTTGGCTGTTAAATCTCATTTTAATACTTACCAGAGTATTCAGTATTCAACAATATATTTTCCCCACCCCTTAAAACACTCTGCAGGTTTCCAGCCCGGAGTTGTTACCTGGCAATTCAAGCAAACTTTTTTTATTGTCTGAAACTGTAGGACATAAAACATTGGTTTTGATCATCATGTGTATTAAGTGCTCCAAACTTGAGTAAGCAAAAAACCAAACCACTGTCTTATGCAGAAAATATTGTACATTGTGGCAGTGTTCTTTCTCTGTAAAAATGCTTTTAAAACTAGTAGGAAGTGCACATAAATGATCAAATTTGTAATAAATCTTTTGTGAGCTAGCTGATGTGGCTCATCAGAACATCTAACAGTAGTTACCCCAAAGCCCAGGTATGCTTATAGATAAGATGAAAGCAGTCCTTCTTATTAAATCACATTGTATATCTGACTCCTGCGCTTTTCTTCAGTCTTTAAATCAACTCCACCTGGTTCTTACTATTTAGTTGTAGAGTTTACCTTTCACAATGAAACAGCAGGTCCAATGTGATTAAAATTATTAGGTAAAAATACTGGTTGCTTAAGTCTGGAATCAGCTAACCATAAAAAACATGGTCAGCCACAAAATGAAACTGAGAACCAAACCTCCACTGAGTGTAAATTAGCTGGACTCCAGCTGATTTCAGTGGAAGGTATTGAAAACAATATTCTGGGCCACCTTTCTTTCTGTTAATACTTTATGGAGCACATCAAGCAAGATGCCAGAACAATTCCTGTATAAGTAAGAAACAATCTCATTATATTGTAGACTAGTCCTGGGTTTATAGTGTGTTGTGGCAGGGTGAGGACCTAGGTAGCTAGAAGGGAATGACCCTGCCTGTGTTAACTAAAACAAACAAAAAAAAGTGCCCTGCACTCTGGGGTGCCCAGTTTACTCAGAGGGTCCTCATTCAGATTCTGTTCAACAGGCTGCAAATGCAAGCCAAACAGCATCAAGACAACAAAAGTAAAGGAGCAAAACAGTTTTCTATGTCTTTGGGTCAACAGCCTCCTTCTTTCAGTGAAAGAAGTGTCTCCAGTGTCTCCATTCCTTTACAATTCTTTAGTCATAGCTAAATTAAGTTGCATTCACTGCTGAGTTTGTGAAACCCTTTGTGGGGATCTAACACAGTAAAAAATCATATTGCTGAATGACTGTGAGATAGGATGTGGGTGGTAGGATATGGTAGGATCTCTTCAAGGAAAGACTCACATTAAGTTACAGTGTACAAGTAGGACATGCCATTTCCCTGTGCTGTGCTTTATTCTTTTAGGGGTTTATTTTGGAGCTGCCATGACATCTTTACCACAAATGCTCAGTGCAAGCTCGACACAGATGGAGACAGGCAGGACCTGCTCCAGTTCATGCCAGCAGGCCGTGATACTGGGAAAAACATTGGGACTCTGTGACAGGGAGGGGCTACGCAGAGAGTCAGGTCCCTGCCCCAACAGTCAGAGGTCAACCAAGACTTGGGCTCCCTCTGAAAAGTTGAAATTTCCTCTCTTGGCAAGAATGCCAGCTATGCACCCTTATGTCATCATAGTGCTTAAACAGGTAAAAATACCACAGCTACAACCTTTTTTCTTTTACAGCTTGAGAACTACATTGTGGAAAACATGAAATCGGAGATGGTGCAGCTGCAGCAGAATGCTGTGCAGAACCACACCGCCACCATGCTTGAGATCGGGACCAGCCTCCTCAGCCAGACAGCAGAGCAGACGAGAAAACTCACAGATGTTGAAACCCAGGTATGTTCCCAGAGTGGTCTTCTAAAAGCCCTTAATTGCAAAGAACTTCTCCCATCCTCTTTCTTTTCTAATGCATCACCGCACAAAACATTTCAACGCAGGGTTCCAAGAAACATACACACTCTGTTTATTAGCACCAACAGCAGTGATGAGTGACCCTCATTATGTGTCTTTCTTTTGATTTCATTTGGTTAGCATATTTAGCTGTGTGTGTAAGGCAGGCAGGGCTGTCCAGGAAACTAAATCAGTATTTGACTTCAAATAAACAGTCCAGCTACCAACTGTGAATGATACAAGTGTCAAGCTAAATAACGAGTTTCAGGCTAAAACAGAGCCTTTGATCTCCATTGTTGGTTGCTTCTTTACTATTACAAGAAAGTTTGTTTATTTTCTGTAAGATGTTTCCATCTGTTTGAAAAAGTGTATGTATTCAGATTTTAAACCGTGAAGAGAGGGACAAGCATCAGCTCCTTTATAAAACAACATGTATTTGTTATTACTGTAAAATTGTATTACATCACAGGAATTTAAAGAGCCATCTCCACATGATTCCTGTCACTAAAATCACTGTTGTGATTGAAGTGACAAGACTATCACTGTCATAACAGAGAGTACAATGTCATACTGGGTTTATTGCAAAGAGAGTACTACTTTTTCTCCTTTTGAATTATTTTATCAGTTTAAGGTACATAATTGTTTTCCTTATTTTTGCTGACTTCCTCTTGATCCTCGTAGCATGTGATATATTGCCAACTGCACTGCGTTCCCTGTCCATTTAGAACAGGGGAATTAAAGTATTGCATTTCTTTGGGTTGTTCTAGTAGCATATGTACTTCTTCAAAGATTGTATTTTCCATTCTAATGTCCTCACTCAGCTTTACAAAATCATTATAAAGTTATTAGGTAATCCCATTACAGTACACTGAGCAACAACAGTAATTATGAGACACAGATACACTGTCTTACATGGGTTCCCTGCACCTTTTCTTCTACATCTTAGTTAGTAGACCAACATTCACTCATAAATGTTGTGATGCAAATGACCACAGTTTCTAAAACATAGTGTATTGATTTAAGAAAATGTTGAGGAAAATCTTTAATTCAGTATCAATAGAACATAATAGCATCAATGGGAATATAAGAGGTAAAGACCTATGGACTGCAGTACCAGTAAAGAAAAAGGAGGTGTAGGAACTCTGCTCATATCCCAAAAGACCTGCCTGGGTGTGTGTTGAGTACTCATTCACAGTTTCCTCCGTTAAGTAAGGGACAAAATGATCATTGCCTCAATCTCACTTTCCCTTTGAGGAAGCACTTCAAGGCAGAGGCAAGGCATCTCAGCTGTTGTGTGCACACATACCTATAAAAACTATTTACATACACTCCTCCAGACTCTATGTAATGAATGGCGATATCCCCACAAAATCAACTAACATTAGTTATTATGATTGCTTTCATTCTTGCAAGCATTCCGTTATTTTCTCTTTTGAATCATTTTTTATTAGAATCTATTCTCTTTCATCTAGTTAAAAAGTTTCTCTACGTTTGACGTACATAGTAAAAGTTGTGCTACTGATACAGACCACCACTAAAGTGAAAGACAATTGCATAAAGCAATGCTTAGGATCACTGCCTTCATCTTAAAAATCTGTGTCAGAGTGCAAGTAGTGATAACATAAGCAGACACCAGACTTCTGCCAACACTGCAAAAGAGAGAACTCAGGGGAAAGCTAAAGTAGGAGGTCTATTTACGAAACAGTGGATGCAACACTTTGGCTTCAGTCCAAGGACTCTTGCACTATTCTGGTTTAAGCATGCTCTTTAGGAATGCTTTCAAGAATGAAAGCAGTAATATTAATTAATGTTAGTTGATTTTGTAGGAATGCAACGCTTCTTTCCATTGAAATGAAGCTTATTTGGCAGTCACCTTTCCTTTTTCTGCCGGCCTAGTTAATACTAGAGTAAACAGAGTGCCAGAATATCAGCTGGTACATATCAGTGTAGCTTGATTGAGTTCATTTGCACCAGCTGAGCAGCTGAGGTTAAAAAAGGATTTAGAAACAATTTTTGACGAATCATCAAATCAGAATGAAATAGTAGGATTACATTGCTATAACAACATAACCAAGACAATAGAAACATTAACGTTTTTAATTTATCCTTAAGGTGCTAAATCAAACATCCAGACTTGAAATCCAACTACTGGAAAATTCACTGTCAACATACAAGCTAGAAAAACAGCTGCTACAACAGACACACGAAATCCTGAAAATTCATGAGAAGAACAGGTAAGAATGAGTAGTTGTTTTCTTACACTCTTTCTGTGTTCATCACAAAGTGGTATGTCCATAGTTTGTTCTAAGCCACTGAGGAAATGGAAGAAGCATTATGGTAAGTGGAAACTATAGGTAATATTTATGAAATGGCTAAAAAAGCCATTCAAGGGTGTGAACTTAAGACTGTGTTAGCTCCTGTATGATAAATGCAAGTTGGTTTTTACCACTTCTCATGTGCATTGTAGCTTTTACATCTCAGTTTGCTTCATAACAACTTAGTCATATGACCACAGTTCCTGCTACCGAAAAGCATACAGATAATTTGCATGAGCACTTTCAAATAGAATAATATTAATAATAAATTATGAGATTATCAACTACACTAAAGTGTGTAAGAAACAGAAAATCTACAGTAGTTTATCTTCTAATTTTAGTGGATAAAAAGATCAAACACATAGAAGGATCTCTCTCTCTGCCTTTGGACTCAACTGTATATCGCATACTGGAGCCACGCTCCATTTAAAAGATACATGTATGGTAAACATTTGGGTTATATGTTGAAATTGAAGAAAAACCTGTTTAGCAGCACATATTTTTTTAAGCAGTGAAGTGACAGTCAAGAAGAAGTTCCAGTGTTGTCCCTTTCTGTGCTTCACAGAAGCACATCTCTCAAGGATTCAGTTCCTGGAAGTCACTGGATTTACCAGCCCAGGATCTCAGAGAGCATGTGGTGGATTGACCTTGTCTGGCTGCCAGACATCCACCCAGCCACTCTCCCACTCCCCCTCGTCAACAGGACAGAGGACTGATGATGAAAAAGCTCGTGGTTGAGATAAAGCCAGAGAGATCACTTACCAGTTACTGTCATGGGCAAAACAGCCTTATTTATTGCCAATTAATAATAGCGTTGGATGGTGAGAAATAAAAAAAACAAAACAGAAAGACCTCTTCCCCCTACCTCCCCTTTTTCCCAGACTCAACTTCAACACCACCATTCCTGACTCCTCTACCTTCCCTTTCCCCCGAGCACCGCAGGGGGATGAGGACTGGGGGTTGTGGTCAGTTCACAACACTGTCTCTCCTTCCTCATGCTCCTTTGCTTCTCCAGCGTGATTCTTTCCCATGGGCTGCAGTCCTTCAGGATAAGATGGCTCCAGCATGGGTTGTCCTTCTGGACATCTCTACCTGCTCCAGTGTGGGGTCCCCCACAGGAACCATCTCCACTGTGGTCTCTCCCGTGGGCTGCAGGGGAATCCCTGCTCTGGCACCTCCTTCCCACCCTCTTTTCTGCCCTTGGTGTCTCCAGCGTTGTTCCCCTCACTTTTTTTCCCTCACTCCTCACACTGTCGTGTGGTGGTTTTTGCCTTTTCTTAAATACGTTTTTCCACAAGGCACAACTGTCTTGGCTGAAGGGCTCAGCTGAGCCTGCGATGGGCCTGTTGGAGCCAGCTGGAACCAGCTGTGTCCAGCCTGGGGCAGCCCCAGCCCCTCCTTCACAGAAGCTGCTCCTGCAGCCCCCAAGCTGCCCAAAGCTGGGCACTTGCCCTCACTACAGTGGGGAAAGCCATTTTCCTTCTTGGCTGCCCTTCTAGAGACCTAAGGCTGATATCCCTCCCCCTGCAGCAGCCAGGTTTAAGCAGGGAGGACAGAGAGGCCTTTCACTCCACAGCTTCACTCCCAGCTCCCTTCTAGAGGCGAACAACTGTGAGGTAGGCCTGGCTAGGCCTAAAGTTTCTCTCTCCTGTATCTACATTTGACATTGAAATAAGACAAACAGCTTGAAAATGAGGTAGTTAGTGAAGCTTCCTGTACAAGTTTTAGTGGACTGTTTAAATTAGGCAGTTTGCCAAAAAAGGGAATATGATTCGGGTGTGGCTGGGCAGGAATCAGCAGCCGAGGTGGAAGAACCTTGCCCAGGGTTTTACCTAAGGAAGACTTAACACCACAGTGAGCAACTGGGAAAAGAAGGGAAAGAAACAGATAATGAGGAAACATAAGAAATGTTGTTGCAAATAAATGTTCGCTAAACGTGCCTAGTTGCAAAGCTCTTAAAATAATGTACCATTATTGCTACTGGTTGTGAAAAGCAATTTAATGTATTTAATCTGACAACTGTTTATAGGCAGTAATTCGAGCAAATGTTATTCTGGAGACATTGGATTTCATTGGAAACTTTTGGACTCCACAAGTTTCCCTTGACCAATTGAAAATATGAATAGTGTGGGATCAGCTTTGACATCAGCCATCTAAAAATGAAGTAATTTGCCTAAACTGCATATGTGGGCTCTCCCTGTAGTCCGTGGATAGAGTAGGCATGTGCAGGAGGCAGTTAATTCTATGTATTTTACAAACTATATCAATTTGGGATTAGCCCAAGCATTAGTTAAGTATATAAATAGTTACATTTTTATCTGCTGCAATCTGGTCAGCGACAAAATTTTATTGGCTGTTCAAGAGACAGTCTTGTGTACTTAATCTGAATTTATTTATTTATCTTAGCAATGTGTCAGGGTGTAAAGACTTCATGTCAGTAAACAAGTAAGTTTTACTTAAATTGACCTTTGACTTGGCTGATATTATGATGAAATGGTCTGTGACATGACAAAATGGTCTGTCCTGATTTTCTGGAAGAAAAGGAGGTGTATGTTAAAAAGCACATTTTATACCCAATTGTTTCTCTCAGAAGTACAGTTTTGTGTGGATAAATGAAAAAGCATATGGAATTTCATCTTGTAATGAAGCAAGAACCTGACATACATTGTCAAGGTTCTGTTACTCTCTCCTTGGGAGAGATAAAATAGGGAGTGGGCAGTGTTACGATTACACTAAAATATGGATCATTAGCTTCTCTGTTATCATCTACTCCTACAAAAGATCTGGTAATCTCAGCCTTGTAGGTCTTATCCTGAAATCAATTATGTGTTTGTCACTATGGGACAAATCTTGGTGATCTCAGCAGATACTGGGTTTCTGGACATGCTAATGATTTCAGCTTGCTTAACTGTAAACCGTACTTATAGATTACCCATCAGGCTCTGTTCAATAGTTGTTTTTATTTAAAATGTCTTCATCCTTCTCCATATCACTTACACATCAATAAAATAGAGAACTCTTTTTGTCTGCTTTGCCTATGTGGACCGTAAACTTCTTTTGGAAGGGGCCTTTCTTTTGCAGTAGGTGTACAGCACAGTGGGAACAAGTGTAGGAACTATTATCATGACAGCATTAATCAAAACAGATGGTGTGCTCTGGGCAGATCATTTCTTTCTTTGTGCTAAAATTTCCTCTATATAAAATAAAAATAATGATCACTTTCAAAGAACTGGATTTTGGATGAAAGTAATGCAAAATCTTGTAGTAATAATAACTGAGCATTGACGGACTACAGTGACTTGTATATTATCCTTAAATAAAATGAACACTGCACATCAACAGGGGACCAATGTGTGTTCTTTAGAAATATGTCTATTCTTGGCCTTTCTCTTTACTTCCTGCCTCTGCTGGGAAGAGTGGCCAATTTTCTTCTTTTTATCCCGCTGAATTGAAAGATATTCCATGGCATAAGTGGAGTCACATTTGCCCCAGAATCATGTTTCTATTGAGTGCTCTCATGCCATAAATAATTTAGTTTTGTGGGATCCCACCCACTGTATTGTAAATGGTGGTTTCTTCCATTGCCATTTTTTCTCCCATAAGAGCTTTCTAAAAACTATTTTGATTCATTCTTGAAAGATTTCCTTGCTTAAGTGACTTTTTGAGCCCCTCTTTTTTTTTTTTCCCAGAGTGTACCAGCTGCATTTAACTTATTGTGTGCCATTTGTTTCAATACGTAAGCATGAGAACAATTTCTTATTTACTCAAATGAAACAAATGAGAAAAAATAGAATGGAATTTTGGATCTTCCAGCAATAAATAGGGGAAGTGAAATTTAAACATAAAATCCACCTTGAATTTGCAGAAAATCAAACTAGATTAAGAACTGTTGTATCCTATGAAAGGCAAGGGCTCAGGAATGATTCTTAAATTTCCAGCTAACTGGGTGAAAGATGGGGAAAAACAGTATGTCTATTTGCAGGTTTTGCATATACCAAAAAGATAAATCCTTATTTTTCACTTCACTTTTGGGGTTTCAGTGGAAATATCTTGTCACTGGTATAAAAATAGGCTTGCTGATGTAAAGTGACAAAGAACTTTACTGATCTTGAGAAATATGGGGATACATATTTTTTTATATTTTCTTAAAGTGATCAAACTATATCAGACCAACAAAGTAAGTGCGAGTGATCAGCACCTAAAAACACAGGAAAAATTTCACTCATGTAAAAGGAAGTACAAAGAAGCTGTCTCAATGAGAAAATATTGTTCTTGCACTCAAAAGTATTTATTTAGATCCTCTACCTGTTTCTCTTCCCATATATACATAATACAAGAATACTACATGTATATGACCAAAGAACTTCTTTATAGTGTAATGTTAACTTGTCTTTATTTATTGAATAGCTCAAAAAAATAGTTGTTTTTTTCTGTATTTTTAATAAACTCAGATTTTCTAAAAGATTATTTTAATGCAAAAAATCTCTAAAATCTGGTCTATATGCTGTTCTCAGAAGTCAAAACTGAGGCCTCCAAAAACAAAGATTAAAAAAAAAACCCTTTTAAACTGCCATGGTGTGGAATGGATTAGTGAATAAACTACCTGCCTTATAAGGCAGATTGTCTAAACCAGACTTGCCTTCCTCCCCAGAGAGCTACTAGAGTGCTTTCTATATGTTCTACTTCATCACCTTTCAAAATGACAGCAGCTTTCACTGGAATTCATTCTTTGACTTCTCTATGGGCTTTCTACCCTCTCCAGTGTTATCAGAGGGCTTTTTCTGAATCAGCTGTACACAGAACAGTCGCACCGAGGCATCCCACTGGCTTGTCTCCTGGCAAAGTTAACACATCATTTTTATGGTTGCAAATGGATTTCTAGCCTCACCAAGACCAGTAGGTTAGACACTGAGACATGGTTAACCTTTAGGAAAATTAAGCTTGTCTGGGTTTGGGGTGTGTGTGTTTTCAATTTAATTGTCTTCTAGATAATGACTCCAAAGAGTCATTTTACAATGGAGAATATTGGTTTTATCCATGTTAACAACAATATCTTTTTCTTCACAACTTCATTCTGTTTTTTATTTAAATGTGCTATAATCAATATATATGTAACAATGCAAATAAATTCTGGCCACATTAGAGTCGAAGGATGTAAAAGCAGCTTTTCTCATGCTGTTTAAGGATCTCTTCCTTTTGGAATAGGCCAGTGCAGATATCCCCAATCTATGTGAAGTTTTTGCTTTTGTTCATTTGTAACTTTGAACAAAGTTTTCTCATTGATTCTTAGTAAAACACAGTGAATGTTTTGGATTTCTCCCAGGAATACAGGGAGTGGTCCTATCCTCAAGACTTATTCTTCTCTGTTGTAGATTTAGGGATATAGAAAGATCATTGCATAAATGCATATGCATTCCTTAAAATAGCTTAGTTTTGCAGTTTAAAATAAGAGGACTTTTAATCTACATATAAAACTGTAAAGAAACCAAGTGCTGTGGTACTCCCATCTTTCTACCACATGTTGTTGACACACTGCTCATAAGTATTAGGATGTATTATTCCTAAAGCCGTAAAACATCTGTTTGCTGTCTGTGTCTGTAGATGCCAAACTGGGAAGCTCTAAACATTCTTCCTCCTTGCTTGACATGGCCAGTGTTGCTACAAATAAGACTGTCATCACCATGGGTTCATTCATTATGGTCTTAGGCTACGGTGGGAAACAAATAATGCAGTGCACAAATCATGGCTGTCAAAGGCTCTTTCTTTTACATGAAATCATTCATATATGGAAATCATTTAGATGTGGACATGCAGATAGGATGTTGTGGAATTAGGGAAATGTCCTGTACTGTACTAGAATATGGACAAAGATAAAGGGAACTTTTTTTTGTCTTTACTTACCGTTTAACTATAAAGCAATATTTTGGCTTCAAAAATGGCATTTCTCTTGCATTGGTAATACATACATTTTCGGTGGACTGTAAGATGTCAGACTGGGATGTGGCTACACTGAACACCCCTTCTGTCACAAACTGTGCCTGTGCCCCACCTTGTTCCTTTCCAAAGTGCATTGATATAACTTACAGTCTATCAGAAAAGTTAAAATCTAGAGTCAAAATGAGTATTCAATGCTTTCCCTAAAAAAGTGGACAGAACTGATAAAATTCACACAGAGCATTTTTTTATTTTGTTTAACATTATTAACCAGTTCCATCAGAATATTTCCAACTAATTCTGCCTAACTAAACTAATTAGTCTGACCTGCGTAACAAAACTCAAAGACTTCCATGTAAATATTCTCAAAAAAAGTCCATATGAGTGTAGAACATAACGGCATTATGTTTAATGTTAGAGTTCAAGTGATGAAAAAGTCAGCTATAGGTCTGATAAGGTGTGAAAATAATTTATTGTCTTTGGTTTCAAAATCCGTACTTTGTTTCAGATTGAAACTTTCTGTCATCTGACTCTAGTCCACTAAATCTTTTTATGTTTTCTTTACTAATTAATGAGCCTTTTAGAATGAGATATTATATTACCCTTTCCATTTGTGAGTGTGCAAAAAGATGTTTTCCCTTCCCATTTTTTCTTCTCCCCCCCCCCCC